CTCCCACAGCTCTGAATGACTGGGGGATGGAGACCAAGCATGCGGACAGGGGAGAGCAATTTATTTTTGAGATTACCTATTTGACAATATCTCAGAACTCACCTGTCACTAACTCTCTCTCTGAACCTCAGTTTCCTCTTCTGCGAGAAGAGGAGTTCTCCCACTTGGGTCAGCATCACAATTACTCAGGTAGCTAATAGGAATACACATTCTCAGTCTGATTGAAGAAAGGCAGGGCCAGTGCCTCTGTATCTTTACCTGGTCTCCCAGGTAAGAACCACAGGAGAAATTATCCAAACCAGTGCTGCTTTAATGGGCATGTGAATCCCTAGGAGATCTCGTTAAAGAAAATGCAGATTCTGCTTCAGTAGATCTTCAAAGACCAAAGCTCCCAGGTGATGCCGATGCTGCTGGTCTAAGGATCACCCCTGAGTGCAGTCCCTTCCCATGAACCCCTGATGTTTGCGGGCTTGGGAGATTGTGGTCATGAAGCCAGCATTTACTAGCGTGTTCTAGGTGGCTTCATGCCTGGTTAGGGCAAAGCAGACTAACAGTGTTCCTACAAATTGTGTCCCTTTAGGTAAGTAGCTGCTCCTGGAAGGGTCTTGCCACCCATGATCAAGAGTCAGTGGTCTTCAGGGTCTTAAGCAAGGCAGGGGTATTGCCAGCTCTGCAGCTTTCTTCGGGCATGTGTTTTGTGTGTAGGGCTTGCTGGTATGGGGATCCGAACCCTTGACTTTGGTGTTATAACACATGCTCTAACCAACTGAGCTAACTGGCCAGCCTAAGTTTCTAAGTTCGCTTTAAGGCCACATGGAGGATGGGTTGGAGGAGGGGGTCTGAGTGGGGATGAGGAGGATACCAGCCACCGTTGTGTAGCCACTCCCAGCTCTGTCTCAGAACAGTTTCTGAAAGCACGTCTGTCCTGAGGTGTGGGCCAGAGGGAGGCCTGGGGGCTGCTGCTGAGGACCCTCTCCAGCCTCATCTGGCCCTTCCTGTCTACTTGGCCGCTTCCTCCTCTTCTTCTCTGGCAGAAGCCCAGTTCATTCCCTGTTACCATCTCTGGCAAAGGATACTTTAAGAAAGATCAAGTTTAAATGAATGACAAAAAGGAGGCCTACGTGGGTTTTTGTAGATTTTGAAGAAAAATTATTTCTTAGTACAGCATAATGTAGTGAAAAGGGCCTAGGGAAAAGATTCCCAAGCTATGCTGAACATTAAAATTACCTGGGCAGCTTTTAACACTCTGATGCCCTATCCTCACTGCAGCCCAATTCAATCAGAGTGCTTGGGGTGGGAGCCAGGTGTCAGTATCTTTCAAAGATCCCCTCAGATGAATCCTCTATACGGTCAAGTTTGGGAGTCACCGGCCTAGAGAGAGGGATGCCTGGGTTCTCCTCTCAGCCCCCTGCACAGACT